AGGGGTGTCCCTTCATCCTCGCTTTGAAACCCAGCACCAAGAGATGGCCCATGCCAAAGAAACCCTCTCCCCAAGTCGAGAAACTAAAATTACAACAGCGAATTACATACCCGCTGCCCTGATCCCTCACACATGGCAGTGAGCTCTTCCAGCAGCACTCAGACTGCTGCAGCACCAAGCTGTGACCGTGGCACAGCACTGCTGTCATCACTGCTCACTTTATAACGAGAGGCCACGGGCACACAGAGCTCCAAAGACCCCAAATCCAACCCCCCCCCCTCTCCCCCTCAGTGCACCTCTCCCTGCCCCCTGCCTGGGGATGCCCCCATTGCAGTGCCCATTGCTCAGCCCCATCCCATTGCATTCCCACCACCCTCAGACAAACCCTGCCCTGCCCAAACGTGACACTGCTGCACAAAAATTGGGACTGCATTCCGGGAAGGATGCACATCCCCTTCCTAGCAGAGCACAAAAGCACCTGACATCCCTGATGCTCCTCAACACATTATGCAGACAAACACTAACCAATGGATTTCATGCAATTTCAGACATAATTTGTTAAAAGCCACTCAATCCCATGTGATTTCGGCCTTAATTCTTAAAAGCCAGGGCTCAGTGCATGCAGCAGCCACCCCACACCATGGGAAGGGGTTGAGCCAGGAATGGCAGCACCCCGTGTGCCTCTGGGAAGAGAAAAGTGGATTTTAACCCCCAAAAATGGTGCAGAACACCCGATTTTGGCCGCACGCTGTTCCCCCTCCCCCCAGCGAATGCTTATAACACAAAACCACAGTTATGCAGATTTATGCACTGTCTTCTTTCACACTTGAAAAAAAGCCAACACAAAGTACTTCTTTATATATGACATTCTGCTTTAAATATCTGATGTTTACTGGACGCTGTTCTATTTTTTCCTTATGCTTGGAAAAAAACAAAAAACAACAAAAGCTCACCATAGAAAATCATGAAAATTTGCTCTAAAGAGAGGCTCGTTGTTTTCCAGTCAGGTTTCCACAATGCAAATTGTGCTCCCACCATGAAGGGGAACCGGTGCACAGCAGACACAGTGCAGCACAGCTCTGCACACCCTGCCTCAAACACAGGCAGCAATAGAAGGGATGGGGCAGCTGAGAAGGGGAAGCAAGGGGCTGGGGTCAGGTTGGGCTTAATGATCTTAAAGGTCTTAATGAGACTCTGCTATGACTTAACAAAGCAAACAGGGTCACAGAGATCGTCACATAGATGCAGGCAGCTTCCTACATTGCACTCCCAACTCGTGACCGCTGCACCATTCCCTTCTAATGGCATGAACCTTGGGTTGCCAAAGGAGGCTGTGGATGTCCCAGCCCTGGAAGCATTCAAAGCCAGGCTGGATGTAGTTGTGGACAGCCTGGTCTGCTGGTTGGCGACCCTGTATGCAGCAGAGGGTTGAAGCGAGACGATCGTTGTGCTCCTTTTTCAACCCAGGCCATTCTATGATTCTGTGAAAATGGGATGTAACTCATTGCTTGCTAAGCTGGGAAGTGTCACAGCCAACCCTGTGCCCAGGCGCTGAGCCGTGTTTGGAACAGCCCTTCTTTCCTCGCCTTTTGCATGCAGGGTGAGAGGAAGCTTTCTGTGACTCATCCCAACCCTCGACGTGGGCAATTGGACACGTGGGGGGTAACTGCCCAGGCCCATTTTGGAGCTGACAGATAGAAAAGAATGCTGCTGGGGGATTTATCAGAAAGCCAGGAGTGTGCCGATGGGTTTTTTTTGTAAACTGGTTCCATGGAAAGATAATTGCAAGCAGAGTCTAATTCTGCAGCCTCTAATTTTCTTGTCTGACTAAGCAGGCATAATTTACACCCATCAGTTGCAAATGGCTTCTCTCACCAATCCTAAAGATGAGGGGGGGGGGAAAGGTTGATTTCCTACCTCTGCAGAAAGAGGATGAAACACACACGGAGCTCCTGGCACAGCCCTGCAATCCCACCCAGCCTCAGCCACACCATCGTGCAGCCCAGGAAAAGCAGCACCTGATGGAGCAGCTCCTGGCTGCCCCTGCTTCTTCTAAGCCGCAGGGCAACCTCAGGAGATGCACCGTGGAAACAAGGCTCCCTCTCTGCCCCCTGTTATTCTAAGCGTCCATCACAGAATCACTGAGGTCAGAGAGACCTCTGAGATCCCCAAGTCCAACCACCCCCCGTCCCCTCCATGCCCACTGACAGCCACCTTCAGCCCCACAGGGATGGAGTCTTCAATCCTTGTGGCCCCAGCATTGTCCCCCAGCTCCTGCTCTGGTGCACACCTGCCTTCTACAACAACACACGCAGCAGAACCAGGCGTGTTTCAAACCAGCCATCACAGCAACGTCCTCCAACACAAACACACACCGTGTGGGGCTGCGACCTTTCTAGAAGCACTATTCTGGAACCAAGATTGTACCAAAAAGTGCATTTTTCCCCCCACCTCCAGCACTCCCTCCCCTCCCGCAGTGCTGTGCAGCGCCTCCAATGAGCAGAGAGAAGAGCCTGGGAGAAATCTGCCAAGTGGGAAACCTCCATCCCTACCCAGCGCCCACCCAGCGCTTCTCCATCACAGCACACAGAGAGGACGAGGAGATCGGTGCTGTCCTGGGGTGGGCGGCAGCCCCCGCAGCGCTCAGCCCGCAGCTCCCGAAGCCGGGGTGCGTTCAGCAGAGGGCACTCACGGCCCAGGAATGCGCTCCGCAGCATCGCGATGTACGGAGGACCCAAGGAGCTCCGTAACGGGAGAGCTGGGCAGCATCACTCGCGGTGATCGCGGCTGTTAGGCGCACGCATGCAAACATAACGCACGTGGGTCGCATCGAGCGGTTCAGACGGCGTTAGCAATGAGAAGAACCTCTTTTTGTTCGTTGGCACGGAAATGTGTGGCGCCTACTGAAGTATTTCTCTCTCTCTGAGGTCTGCGCCTCTTCTGAAGCAAGGATCTGAGTGAAGGAGTCCTTTGTCAAGCAGTATTTTCCTCGGATATCAATGAAATTGTTGCCATATTTTTTTCCCCCCTATTTTGGCAAACAGTTTCATACCCAACACGGAGAAGCCTTGCACTAAATCCACCCTCTTTGGAACAACCGTAAGCCTGCAGCTCTATTTGTGGGCGAGTGAAGCAAGATTTCAGGCATATGAGGAATGTAAAGTGTAGATGAGTAACCTCCATGTGTGATAGGCACGGCTCCAAACGCCACGAGCAGCACTGAGGGAGGAGAAATCCAACAGAGCTGAGCACCCTCACCCCCAACCAGGAGCATCCAAATAGTGCTGGTATCCTCAGGGCTGCACAGAGGGGCACGCAGAGCCCAGGACAGCAGATCTGCACCTGAGCTCACCCCTCTGAAACCCCACCGTGCTGTTACAGCAGTGGGGAGCAGAGAGCAAAGCAGAAGCTGGAGCCTCTCATCATCTAACAGCAAACATCACCCCGGCAACTGCCTGGTTCCAACAGTTTGCAGAATCACAACTTCTTGTCCTGAGTTAACTGAAAACCAAACTCTTCTCTAAGTGTTGCACTCAGAAGAGCAAAGAACAGCTCTCTCTGTAGTCTTCCTCCCAGAAGCATTTTTCTAACTCCAGGTGCACAGATTCACCAGACTGTGACATTTGATTTCACACGAAGCCCACAGCAACAGCTGTCCCTTGTTTAAGCACCGAGTGAAGAAAATCCCTCGCATGCACTCGTATTGAATCCTATTCCTTTGGGTGCCCTGAGAGATAGAAACACCCTCAGACCGAGGCTGCTCTCCTCCCTTGGCACTGCCAGCAGGTTTCCTGCGGGCACTCAGCCCCCTCCCCAGAGCTTTTTCCAAAGCTCCGCAACGACCGCCTCTCGCTATGGCACGGGATCGGCCCCACAGCGCCGGGTGCCCCGCAGGGGGACCGCCTCGCTGCGCAGCCTTCGGTCACACACGGACCCCAAGGAGCTGTGCTCCGACTTTCAGAGCGATGCATATTTGCACACCTCCCCCTCCGCACCCCCCCCCCCCCCCCCCCCCCCGGGGTTCACGGCGTCCGGGCGGAGCTGCGGCACTGGGTTGAGCTGCAGGCAGAGCGAGGTCGGCTTTCTCTTCCAACGCCGAGCGGAGAAACGGGCAGAATTAAAAGGATGAACAGAGACGGACTAATAGTATGTTTGCAAGAATATTAAAGATTTGCTCTCGAGACGTTCCAGGCGATGTAGTTAGCAGACAGCTCGCAAATGGGAACGATTGGAAATGATGGAATAGATCGAATTATTTAAATGAGAAAAAATAAATTCGCCCTCTCCGAGCCCCGCCGGTTGGCAGCGCTTCCTCCTCCCCCGGCTCTCCGTCTCTGTCACTGCAGTCGTTCCACTCCCCCATCGCGGGGCTCGGTGGTGGCACCGAAATGAAACCCATCCCCAGCCCGAGCCCACACCCAACCGTGCTGCTGTGCGCTGCCCCGAGCCCCGTGGGGCTGCTGGAGACACAGGGGACAGTGGGGACACCCGGGGACATAAGGGACAGTGGGAATCTCGGGAGACAGAGGGGATGGGGGAATTTCTGAGAGCTCTGGGGGACACAGGGGACAGTGCGGGCCTCCAGGGACAGTGGCACCCTCAGGTGCTCTGGGAATAGAGGGAACACCATCATCCCCAGCACAGAGGGGCCTTTGAACGCATAGGGAGAGCGAGATTCCCAGGAGCTCTGGGAACACAGGGGACAGTGGGCACCTCTACGAGCATCGGAGACACCTGGGCACCACTCCGGGGACAAAGGGCGCCAGCATCCCCGCGACACGGGGACAGCGGGGACATAGAGGGAACACGGCGGGGACAGCGGGGACACGGCGGGGACACGGCGGGGACACTGGGGACAGCGGGACGCTGTGGGTCAGGACGCGGAGCAGCCGTCGGGGCGGGCCGTTCCCGCAACCCCCCGGGGTGAGAGTGTCGGTGCGGGTGTGAGCGCGGGTGCGTGTGTGTGAGTGTGCGTGTGTGCACGCTCCACTCCGGGGCTTTGTGAGAGCCGCGCGCATCAGTGGTAGGAGGGGACAGAGCCGCTCCTGCGGGCGCACCGACAGCCCGACTCCGCAGGTGCCGCCCGGCTCGGCACGGCTCGACACGGCACGGCTCGCTTTGGACCCGCACGGCTCGGCGAGGCTCGGTTGGGCACGGCTCGGCGCGGCTCGGCTCGGCACGACGCGCTCACTACGATGTGCCATGGGCGGCCGCTCCGGCTGAGCCCCGGGCCGCAGCCCCCCGCCCCGCTGCCCCTGGGGCCGTAGGGCCGCGGCCCCGCGCCCTGCCCGACGATGACCCAGCCGTGGCCGGCGTTCCGCGGCGTGCTCTGGGAATACTGCGCGGCTCTCCTGCTCGGAGGCTTCTGGGGACACTGCTCGCATGGGATGCCTCATGTCATCCGGATAGGTAAGCGAAGTGCCGTGCAAGGGGGGTGCGGTGCGCTGCCCCGCCCGGGGAAGGGATGCGGGGAGCGGGGCTGGAACCGGCGCGTCCCTGCACGGTGCCGGGAGGGAGCCCGGAGCGGGGACACGGGGCGGTGCGGGGCTGTGCCGTGTAAGGGGGAGATGGAGACGGTGCCGGATCGGAAGGGGGATGCTGAGAACGGTACGAGGAGCGTCGCGGTGCCCGGTGCGAGAAGGGATGCTGCGCCCCGGAGAGGGGGATGCTTTGCTTTTGGAAAGCGGGGTGCCGTGCCCGCGGGATAAAGGGATGCTGTGCCTTCAAAGGGGGGGATGCTGTACCCCAAAGAAGGGGATGCCGTGCCCCAGAAAGAGGGAAGGCTTCGTTTCTGGAGAAGGGGATGTTGTGCTCCTGAAGGGGGGAATGATGTGCCCCGGAAAGGAGGATGCTGTGCTTCAAGAGTGGGATGATGATGTGCACCAAGAAAAAGGGGATTCTGTGTCCCGAATAAGAGGATTTTGTGCATTGGAGAAGGGGACGCTGAACCCCGGAGAAGGGGATGCTGTGCCCCAGAGAGGGGGACGTTGTGCCGGTGCAAGGAGGGTGCTGTGTGGCTGTGAGCAGAGATGCGAGCCTGCTGCAGGAGGAGCGTTGTTCGGAGGAGCTTTAACCCCGGCCAGGAGCAGCCCTCGGGCACGGGGTGTTGCTGTGAGGCTGCGTAGGGCAGGCAGTGCTGGAAGCCGTGCTGAGCCCGCAGCCTGCAAGGTGCTACGGCGCTGCGGGGGGCCGGGTGGTATTCATTAAATAGCTGAGGTTCTGGGGAAAATTAATTTTTAATGATGTTACATAAAGTAATTGCACAGATAACAGCTTGGGAAAGAGGCTATGATCTTTCTTTCTCTAATTAAACTAGATGCAGAAATGTGTCGTGTAAAGAAAGTCTCTGATTCCCTGCTACATCCCATGCACTTCGCCATCAGTTCACATCCACAGGGATTTGCTGTGTGCCCATAACAGCAGTCAGGACAGGGTTACTGCCTGCATGGGGACCAGAGTCCAAGCTGGAGAAAACAGTGAAAACCAAATAGATTTGTGGATGTTTTTTAGTGTTAAGAAAAAAAAAAAAAGGACTTGTTTATGCTGATGTGAATGCACAGCAACCATGGGAAAGCCAGAAAGAGAAAAATGCCAGTCCTGAAGGGCGGCCGCGTTCTGAAATATTGCCATCTCCAGAAGGGCTGCGTGAGTGCATGGCCCTGGCACGGACTGCAGCTTGAGTCCTGCAGGGCACACACTGCTCTCCTGTGCTGCTGTGAGCCACGCAGATGTGCCCTGCGTGTGCTGCAGCACCCCGAGTTGTGATGGGAAAGGTGGATGGGAGATGCCCTGAGAGCATCAGTGCTGCCCACGGGGGTGTTTGGAGCCTGGAGCATCCCTGGGGCAGTGCTCAGCTCTGTCAGATTTTCTAGGCAGGGCTCAAAGCAATCGTACAAAGGGATCCGGGAGATTCCAGTAGGGAAACTGTGCCAGCCCTTTCCAAAATGCTGTGGTTGGGCTGTGGCTCTGCTCTTCCTCACCACAGGCACGGAGCAGAGCAATGCCAGCACCAAGGCTGCCCCAGGAGCAGCGCCGTGCGGGGTTCTGTGCAGCTCCATACGGACCCATAGAGCACCATGCAGTGCCATGCAGCCCCATATAGCCCCATACAGCCCCATATAGCCCCATGCAGCCCCACTGCCAGCCACAACCAGCATCTCAGCCCCTCGCTCAGCCCTCCCTCCACCACTAAAGCAGGAACAGAAGGGTCAGAAAGGAGCTGGAATGGGGCTGTAGGAAGGTCTGCATTTACCTGTGCTCTCAGCTAGAACTGGAATAATTCTGTCCTCTTTCACTGGGAAACTGCGGCTTCTCCCCCCCTGCATTCATTTGTGCAAAGCTGCTCTGGCTTTCCAGTAATTATTTTAATTATTAGGCGATGCCAAGAACTGGAGAACGCTTACATAAGTATTGTTTTAAAGCCGAAAATTAAAGCGGAGAAAACAGGTAACTTTCCAAAGCTCCCCTGTTTTCCCATGAAGCTGACAATTAAAATAAATACAGCGAGGCTTTGGTTCTTTTCGAGGAGACATCGAGGAAAGGAAAGGAAGAGCTAAAAGCGCTCCTTCTCTCACGTGTGAAATATAAATATTTAATCTACACATCTAACCATAATCTACGCAAACACACGCACAAAGAGAGCCTACCGCCGGGTTTTGTTGTTCAGAGGTAGGAGTTGGGATCTGAAAGCTTTCCCCCAGCAGCTGTTTAATTATTATGCAATGATAAATATTTGAAAACGCCGCATCAGAAAACAGCCCAGCCATGTGCACGGGGTGCTGCTGTGGCACTGGGCCGTCCCAGCTCAGGGATGGACGGCCGGAGCTGGATGTGCAGTGCTTCCATTGGAGGTGGCAAGGCTGGGCTTGGTGCTGGCGTGAGGAAGCAGAGCCCATCTCTGAAGCATTGTTGGGATCCACTTGGGATGACTGTGCCAAAGGATGACCCGTTAGCAAGACGTAGTGGCTGAGATTAATAGGAGATGGTGCAAGCTGCAGCGCAGGAGCGCTCGGCACGGCCCTGCTGCTCGCGTTGCTGGTGGCTGCTCCCATCTGCACCCAGCGCTGCGGGGCTGCAGCTCAGCCATGCATGGAGATGGCAGCAGCTGCAGCCCTGCAATGGCAGAGCCACCCCCGCCCCACTCCCTGCCCTCCTCTGTTTGGATACATTCCATTTTTCCCTCTGGTTTTAGAAGCAACCACCCGCACCGTTGCCTCTTGGCTCTTTTCCTGCTTTTGTGTTTTCTTATATATATATATTTTTTCCTTGGGATGAGAGCCCTGTGGTGCAGCAGCAGCAGTGCCCAAGGGATGGGTGGGGATGGTGATGCTTTGAGAACGTGGGCTCTGTTCCTCAGAGCTGTGTGCACCCAGGGAAGGGCTGCACACCGACTGCATGCTGTGCAGAGCAAACAACCCAACAGGATCGGAATCGGTGCAGGAAAAAAAAAAGAAAGAAAAAAAGCATTGATTATTTTATATAAATACACAGAAAACAAATTCCGTGGATAATTACCCTCCACTGTGTGATTGGCTTTTTGGAGGCTCATTACGCCCGCCTGGAATTTAATTCTGCAATCACCTTCCCACACACTGCAGGCGAAATTGCCATCAGAAATAAGGCAGCATTGGGGGGAACTGGGACCTGGGGGGCATAGAGCTCCCAGATTCAACGCTGCACAGGGACCCCCCTAAGCTGTCTTCCTTTGGGGCTCTGCTGCTGCATGCTCCCTGCTGCCACTAAAAGGCTTTGTGATCACCTTCGTGGAGGTTTCTCCTGCAACCCCACCTGCATTTGCATGGCTGTGCAGCCACTGCTCGAGCACTGAGTGGCACGGGGAGGTGTTGTGGGTCAGGAGATGCTCTGTGCATCAGGCAGCTCATCCCGGTGCTGTAAAACTGTTTGGTGGTAAATTAATTCTGAATACATTTGAATAACAATGTTACCTCTTTATGGCGGAATAGCCTAATTGTTTGATCTCAGCATCCTCACGGGAGCACGGTGCGGGAAATGAAGATCAAACCACACGAAAAGAAATAAATAAAAGGAAAGGCAGAAAAAGTAATCGACCCCACTCTATCGTGGGGAAAAAGTGGTCCTGGGATGAGCGGAGCTGCACAGTGCTCAAAGTCACAGCTGTGAGTGGGACCTCAGTGGGGCAATGCACTGGTCTGTGTGCATGGAAGGGTCTGTGTGCTTGGAGGGGTCTGTGTGCATGGAAGGGTTTCCCTGCATCATTGCAGCTCCCACCCCCAGCTCTGCGCCGTGGCTGTGCCATAGAGCTGCATGCTCGCCGCGCGTTGCAGCCAGAATTCTGCTCCACCACCAGCCTCTACTACCTTCTGGATGCTCTTCTTGGCGAGAGCAAATGGAGGCTGATGCTAGGAAAAGATTTTCTTAGTTTTCAAGATGCACGGAACGATAGCAAAAGCAAAAAACTGCACGCCCTGCGGTGCTGCTGGGATGCAGCAGTTCTCCTGCCCGGCCCCGCAGCAGCAGAGGGCACTGGTTCCTCGCCATCTCCCACTGCTGGGGGTGAAGCAGCAGCTCCAGCCACCTCCTCCCCCCCAGTGCTGTTGCAACCCTGCATGGGACAGCGCTGCCTGAGGAGCTGCCACCGGAGTGCTTTGTGGGGACGAAGCTCCAACCAAACCCAGCGCTGTGCATCTGTCTGCAGCACGCCTCCCAAAGCCTCCTGATCCAACATAAAGCATTTCTGCGCCGGTCTTGCTGCGCAATCTTGATTCCCTCTTTTTGCCAGAGGATTAATGCGATGCTGTCTAGACTGCTTTCCTCTCCCTTTGCATGTTCTGAAGGTTCTGAGGAAGGCAGAGCACACAGAGAGCACCTGAGCTCCTCAGAGGTGAAGGCTGCAGAGGGTGGGCGAAGGCAGGGGCTGCAGTGAGGGCTGTGCAGGTGCTGCTGTTGGCAGTGGGACAACGTGCCACTGAATACTGCAGCTTCCATGTCCTTAAAAAGGGGTTGGTGAGGCAGGACTGCCTCATTTCAGATGGATGTAGCGTGATGGGGCTGCGCAGCACTACTCATGTTCACTACCAATAAAAGCAGACAATGTGCTTGCTTTTAGCACTCATAATAAAGCCCCAAATAGGCTCAGGTCGTTACCAAGAAGCAACAGCTCGCAGCACAGGGCTCTGCTCCCAAGGAGCAGCCCCATAGAGGAAGGGGCTTCCCATCATGTACTGCATCTGCAGGGAGCACTGAGCACCACACAGCCACAGATGAGACCATTCTGCTATGGCTGGGAGAGGAGATAACCAGCAGCACCCTGCTCTGATGCAGACATCGCTTCCCAGAGCCGTGCAAGACGCAATCCACAGCACTGCTCTGAATTTCACCATGCACGCACCAAACAACTCCAGAGCCAGAAAAGCATCCCCGTTTAGGAA